TTTTTTTTTTTTTTTTTTTTTTTTTTTTTTTTTTTTTTTTTTTTTTTTTTAAAGAGAGAGAGAAAAGGTCAAAAGAAAATTTTTGAATTTTGGTTTTTTTTAGAGGAATTTTTTTTTTTATTGTGCATTTAAATAAAAAATACAATAAATTCTTTAAATAATTAAGGGCTTGATGTAAAAAAAAAATGATTTTCAAAAATTACGCCCATAATTTAATTCTCAAATAAAATATAATAATAAAAATATAAAAATTCTCAATTAAATTGCTTTTGAATGTAAGTATTAACAAAAATAAAAATTGTTATTATACAATCGTATTTTCTAGATTGTTTTTCGCTACTCGTGGCAATCAACATAGTTTATATAAATTTAATGAATATGTAACGATACATAATTATCTAATAACTTTTGCGTCATTGATGTGAAATTGAATGCAATAATTATTTAGTTAATTCATTGATTTATTGATGATTTTACTACGGAGGATTACTGGGACAGTTTGTTTTTACGTGGAAAATTTACACATCTTCATTGCATAAGATTGAATAGCAAAGATTTTGTTTTTAATTTTATGAATTTTAAACAAGTAGACGGTCTACAATTTGTAACAAATCTGATTTGACTTAAATATATGATTATAAAGTATCAAAGAAAGATTTTTTAGCTATAAACAATTAACTATTTAATTAAAATAAATACACTTAGACACTCTAAACTAAAACAATTTCTTAAGCTACGTCTATATTTAATATATAGTATTTAGTTTGTTCATACGGATTTAAGATTTTCCATACAGGAAAAAGGAGATTTCCGTCGAGTGAAGAGATACATCCTTGAGCTGGCCCTTTGTGTGCCCGATTCCTGTGGCACAGTGGACATTAAGCAAGCGCTGGCCGAGCCACTGAAAGAAATTGGCCTAGAAAACGACATCTTCATTGATATCACCATGAAGGGAAACTGTCAAGCGCAGAATGACAAAGCTAAATTGTCGACTGTTGCCAAAATTTATTGGTAAAATTAATCAACAAAATAAGCGACTGATGTTATAATAATTCCGGTTTTGGTATTGCAGTTACACTATCCTGAGTTTAGTATTGCTAGTCATTGCAAGTACATGGTACGAAAGTACCATGAAAAGCGATAATGAAAAAGACAATTTCATGCTGTTAGATTTGTTCCTTTGCTTTTCCGCTCGTCGTAATTACAAAAGTATTGCAAAAACAACGTACAGTCATCCAGGACTTGATAGTATTCATATTTTTCGTGTGATGTTCATGATTATGGTTATATATGGCCATAGGTCAATGCAGTACTATACCAATCCAACAATGAATTCACATGCTTTGGAATTCGTGAGTACCTCGAGTTAATTTAGCAAGCATTAAATTATCAATTTTGTTGTTTTCTTTTAGTCTTATACCTTACCAATTTCAATTTTTTTGTACAACGGACCGATAATTGTTGAGGCATTCTTCGGGTTCGGTGGATTGCTGCTCGCTTATTACGTCCTCATGGAGTTGGATAAGAAAGGTAAAATCGATTTTATCAAGGCGATTGTCTTTCGATATATAAGGTGAGTGAAGTTTATCACAATTGCACGACTTATAATGCGAACTAATATAGATATTGACCCTTTAACACCGAAGTTGGACTAATAGTGGGCCGCGAAATTTATTTTTTATATGATCAAGATACTTTAGAAAGCTTTTAGATCAAGAATTAATCCAGATTCTAGACCAAAATTATTGATCAAGATTTGAGCCAGACTTTAATCAGAATTTGGCCAGGAATCTGGCGCCATCTATTGCTAAAGTTTGGAACTATCCTATAGAGTAGAGATTCTCATTCTATTAAAAAATATTTTACTATTTCGTGCGATAATTCAACTTTTTACATATCCTAGCAAGCTAAATTAATTTTTTAAACTTGTTGACTAGACTATAAGTCAAAACCACTGCAATACTATAATTTTCACATTCAAGTGGAAAATCTGGTCAAATTTTGGACACAGGCTTGATTAAGTGTCTTGGTCGAGAATTGTCCAATTCTTTACAAAGTGCTTCTCCAAGTATCTTGCCCAATTCCATTGTTAGTTACTAGGGGCCCCGGACCCCTATAATAATAATAATAATAATAATAAGCATTATGAGTCGTGGATTTTTGGATTACCCAAACTTTTCTCAAAATTTAACCAATTAAATCGTTGTTATCAAGATTAACACCGCCGTATGCAGTATTAATAATGTTCATCGCATTGATTCTACCCCACCTTGGATCTGGACCTTACTGGAGTTTGAAAGTTGGATTAGAGAGCGAGAGCTGTTCAAATAATTGGTGGGCGAACCTCTTGTACATAAACAATTATGTTAATACTGACAAACTGGTAATGCATTGATTGATGCCAACAATAAGCATCTAATAATAATGAAAAACATACTGTATTGTAAAAACAACTTGAATTTTTTTTTAGTGCATGTTCCAATCCTGGTACCTGTCTACGGATTACCACTTGTATATCTTATCATTGTTCACAATTTATGCATTTTGGAAAATGCCTCGAAGACTTGGATACGCATTTTTGGTTAGTATCATTTTCATCGGATGTCTTATTCCATTTTCGCTCACGTATTTCTACGGTGTCCAACCCATGTTCAGAGGTTTACCTTTGTAAGTACACTTGCCCAAAATGACTCAATTAATTTGTTCACAAATAATTATTTATCGTTTTTTTAAGTATGCAAGAGGTGAGAGAAGATGACTACTTTATTAATCATTACATAAAAACTCACGAACGTCTGACTTCTTATTTCATTGGAGTTCTTGGTGGTGCTATTGTTTACGACCACAAGAAGTCATTGTGGAAACTTCCTAAAGTAAGTTAATTTTTATGCGGATTGATTAAGAAAAACAGTTTACTTAGACTGTCAATTTTGGTACGACTTAATTTGGTTTTTTGATGACATTCATAAGCTGTTTAAAGAATCCGATTAATTAACTGTTGATACACTGTAAAAAATCCGGAGTGAATCCAGAGTTTTTATTTGCGGAGTGATTTCAGAGTGATTTCGGAGTGCTTTCAAATTTCACTCCGAAAAAAATCCGCGATCGGAGTTTTTAAAATAAATAAAATAAGGAAATCAGTCCACGAGAAAATGTTTATTTAACAGATTTTTTTTTTATAAATTGTTGTTGATCTTGACTACCCACATGCACTTTTCATATATGTATTTTATAAATATCATATATATAAGATATATGAAAAAATTCATGTGGGTACTCAAATGGAAGGTCTCGATGAGTTTACAAAATCATGATGGACTTTATTTATGAAAATGTTAATAATTAACGACTGATGATGTATTTTGTTAACTAATGATGTTTTTAACGATATAAGCTCATTCCGATGTTACACTCATCAAGAGCTTTCATTTGAGTACCCACATGCATTTTTGATATATTTTTCATATATACATATATATAAATATATAAAATATATGAAAAATTGATGTGGGTACTCAAATGAATGGTCTCGACGAGTGTAACATCGGGATGAGCTTATATCTTTAAAAATATCATTAGTTGACAAGATACAATGTCATTTCTTAATTATTGAAGTTTTGAAAGATATAAGCTCATCCCGATGTTACACTCATTGAGTTCTTTCATTTGAGTACCCACACATGACATTTTTTATATATTTTATTTATATGTTATTTGTGAAATATATAAATATATAAAAATGCATGTGGGTACTCAAGTGAAAGCTCTTGATGAGTATAAAATCAAAATGGGCTTATATTTACGAAAATGTTAATTATTGAAGAATGCCCATTGCATATTGTTAACTAATGATGTTTTTAACTATACAAGCTCATTCCTAAAATTTCTTAATTCAAGACGTGTGTACATGACAACGTCTATCGAGTCCGCTAGTATGTATATATATATATATATATATATATATAT